CTTTGGTCATTTTTGAGCGAGATGCTAACGGTCTAATCAGATTCAATGATCTATGCTAAGCTACAGCTAAAAGTGCTACCGCCAGACCCGGAGATCGGCTGAATGGATTCGAAAACGGTAAAACTCAACTGTTTAACTCTAGGGGAGTTGGAAAATGAGCCTATTTTCAAAAATAGTGGAGTGTTCCTTTAAACATTTGCTTTAAATTTTGTATTACCAGCAGAATTTTAAGACTTTAAAAAAAAAAAAGTTGATAGTTTTATGAATCTTATACGCAGATGTGTGTGCTGTTTGTTTCATGAACCGAGCTCAGCGTGCTATGGTCTAATGTTTGTGGACGTACCCTTGTCATTATTTATTGTTAAATGTGACCCTGGACCACAAAACCAGTCATAAGTGTCAATTTTCTTAAATTGAGATTTATACATCATCTGAATAAATTAGCTTTCAATTGATGTATGGTATTTGTTAGGAAAGGACAATATTTGGCAGAGATACAACTATTTGAAAATCTGGAATCTGAAGGTGCCTTTAAAATCACCTTTAAAGTTGTCCAAATGAAGTCCTTAGCAATGCATATTACTAATCAAAAATTAAGTTTTGATATATTTACAGTAGGAAATTTACAAAATATTTTCTTGGAACATGATCTTTACTTAATATCCTAATGATTTTTGGCATAAAAGAAAACTAAATAATTTTGACCCATACAATGTATTTTTGGCTATTGCTACAAAGATACCCAAGCGACTTAAGACTGGTTTTGTGGTGCAGGGTCACAAATGATATCACAACATCCCTCTAATCAAATGTGGACAGCTGACAGGTCAATGTTTTCAGAAGGTAAATGCTGAATGTCTCGTTGTTTGTGGTGTTAGAATTAATAATCCTGGATGCTGACCTACTAAATGTCCTGTTCACAGTATTAATCTACATGGCATTATTTACTTTTGGAGGAGATCTGTCTTGTGACCTTACAGATTAGAGCACACAAAGATCTTTTCTCCCATGGAAACATTCCTGCATTGTGTTGTTTGCCATTGCTGTTTATTAGCATTTTATGGACTGATAGAAAAAGCAATTACTGAGCACTTCCTCAGTCGGGTATATTTCAGATTTTTTTTTTTAGATATATAATGGATGGCAGTGGTTGGAAAAAAATTATAGATTGGTGATGTTTTCCAAAAAGGAAGTATTTTTGTTCGTTTTTTATTTTATTTTAAATAATAGTTACTCTTGGATGATTAACAATAAGACCAGGAACATGAATAATTTTTCATAACAAGAAACATTTTTCCCGGACTGTTTTTAAATGCAAATGAAAAGTTCACACAGCAGCATTTGAAACATTATATGAGACAGATGTGATGTTTTACTGAAACATGGTACAGTTAGCCTGCTTGATTTTCCACAGGACTTTGTTTTAATTATATGCATATTTTTGTGTTTTGTTTTAGGTTAATTGGCTCTGCAAAGGTCTCTTTAAAAGACCTTGCCAGTAGCCAAGTTAAGTCTCTCCCAGTGAAAAACTTGGCTCTAGTGGACGAAAATGGCAAGAGTATAGGAGTGGGTGGTTTTTCCCCTTCTTTTTAAGACACACAGACACACAAAAGAAAATATATTTAATATATAGTTTGTTATTTTTGAAACACATTTTGCTATAAGCAGGTACACTTGTAATCTGCACTCGCAGAACTCATTTGCACGAAACTAAAATCATTTGCATGCTCTTTTATTAAATGCTTTTTCCAGTTTGTAAAAATAATTTAAACTACCAAGTAATATTGTCAGCTTTATTTAAAACAGTTGATACTGTTTATTGCACAGCAGACTTTACAGGCTTAAAGGGATAGTTCACCCAAAAATGAAAATGTGATGTTTATCTGCTTACCCCCAGGGCATCCAAGATGTAGGTGTCTGTTTCTTCAGTTGAACACAAACAAAGATTTTTAACTCAAACCATTGCAGTCTGTCAGTCATATAATGGAAGTGAATATGAATCACGACTTTGAGAGTCCAAAAAACATACACAGACAAAACCAAATGAAATCCTGCGGCTCGTGACGATACATTGATGTGTAAAGACACGAAACAATTGGTCTGTGCAAGAAACTGAACAGTATTTATATCATTTTTTACCTCTGATTCACTGTGACGAGTTGTCGTCGTCTTGTTTTAAGGCAGATGAACTATCCCTTTAAATTGCTGTTTAATTTGAGTTTAGTCATTACATATACCTGAGAAACATGTTTACATAGTCATCAAAAATAAATATCTGATCACCTAATTTGGTAATGAGCTTGGTATTGATAGCATCACTGTCAATATCTCCACATTGGACACTGTCGGTATTTGACATTATTATGAGATAATTAGCTGCATCCTTTTGTAGGCAACCATCAGCATGACGATTGGCTACGAGCCACCTGCCGGTGCTGTGACAAACCCACAGGACCAACAAGATGGTGGAAACACAGGTTAGCTGAGTGTGCTTTAATGCTTTTCCATTTGATCTCGCAAAGGAGTGTTAGACAGATGACATGCTTGATGGTGTGAAAACTACATTTTTCAGATACTTCATGGTTGGAGATCAATTACAAGAATCTGTGAAGCTTATTTTGCAAAAAAGATTTTGGCTTTAATTGCATGTTTGCCATATTGGTTATGTCTGACTAACACATGATGTTCTGCATTATGTATTATTTTTTCGTTGATCAGCGGGGGGTGAAGAGGGAGATGTCACTGATGGTGGGGGACGGGGCGCAGTCACATCTCCTGGGGAGCCCGGCCACAAAATTCGGTCTAGGACCAGAAAACGCCATAGTTTGGCTAATAAACCTCAAGACTTTCAGGTACGGGATTGTGCTGTAGTCATTAAATACAGTATGGTTTCTACGTTAAATGCTTACTCTTTATACCTATTATTAGTTATTTTAAAATGCCATTTCTATCAAAGATCCGTGTGCGGGTGATTGAGGGACGTCAGTTGCCTGGAAATAACATCAAACCTGTGGTCAAAGTGCATGTGTGTGGAGAGACACACAGGACTAGGATCCGGAAAGGAAATAACCCATACTTTGATGAGGTATAAAGTTGAAGATTTAATTGAATTGTACTTTACATAGTTCAATAGATCAAATGATTCCGTTATTATGCACTCATCCTCACTTTTCCATACTACAACTATTTATAGTGAGCCTGTAAAAACATTTTAAAAAATCATAAAAGTGGTCCGCACAGTTGAATAAGCTATATTCCAATAACGCTTTGTGTGAAAAAATAAATTGACATTTTTGTGATTTATATTGGTCTATTGGTATTTTGCTGGTCTTCACTGGAAGTAAAAATAAAATTGAAAATTTAAATTGAAATTTCACTTTTTAGTGAACTAGTGAACACCCAAAAGTGAAAATTCTGTCATCATTTACTTACCCTCAAGTTGTTCCAAACCTGTATGTGTTTCTTTCTTCTGCTCAACTCAGAAGATGATATTTTGAAGAATGTGGGAACACAAAAAAGTGAAATTCCAACTTGAAATGTTATACTCTATGCCTGATTATTTGAAAATGCATTATTTCCTAAAATTGATGTCACTGAGTACTATATGTATCACTCTTTCCAGATCTTCTTTTTTAATGTCAACATGTTGCCCTCTGAACTGTTTGATGAGGTTGTAAGCTTCCGGGTAAGAAAGAAGCTGGTGCTGGTCACCAGCTTTTTTTTTTTTTAAATCATGTATAAATTATCATATTTAATGAAAAATAGAAATCTAATGTAATGATTTAATTGATTAATGAATGAGTTGCTGATGATGAAGCTATTCTTCTTTTCTGCAGGTGTATAACTCTAATTCTTTCCGAGCAGACTGTCTCATGGGTGAATTCAAGGTAATTCAGTGAAATCCAAAGTGTATTTTTGTTTTGTACGAGACCCACTCTGTAATTCAAAATGAACTTATGTATTTCGTTTTCTAGCTCGATATTGGTTACATCTATCATGAACCAGGTAATTTTCTGTTAATCACAAAATATGCATTACATTTTATCTGTAGTTGAATTGATCACAAAAAAAAATGTTTTCATCCCAGCTCACTGTATTATGAAGAAATGGATTCTCCTGAATGACCCAGATGACTCGAGCTCAGGAGCGAAGGGTTATCTCAAAGTTAGCATGTTTGTGCTGGGAACGGGTGATGAACCGCCGGTGCGTCCCCTGAACATAACTTTACACTATAGATTGACAAATACAGTATTTGTCTATAAATGTTTTTTTTTTCATTAAAATGTGTTCTAAGCCATTCTTTTCTTATTTATAATATGCAATAGCACACACTTAAAATACTTTTTAAACAATAAAACCCTGCTCTCTGCCAGTCATTCATTTTGAAACTAAAAAAACATGCTATACAAACTGTATTAGCTGATCCCACTGGTTAATGTCTGTTTGGCAGGTGGAAAGGAAGGAGCAGGACAATGACAAAGATGATGTGGAGAGTAACTTGCTGCTGCCCGCTGGTGTAGCTCTTCGATGGGTTACTCTCAAACTCAAAGTGTTTCGGGCTGAGGACGTCCCCCAGAGTATTACAGTTATTCCTTATGCATATGTTTTCCAGAGCTTTTTGGGGGTCATATGATTTGGTGTCTATTATAAGTCCAGGAAATGGCAACATTAGGGATGCTGAGCTGGCACAATGGGTCACTTCCTGATCCCTCAAGGTGGCACTGCACTAGCTGACACAAAACTATTTCCCTGCCATTAACTGTTGAGTCACTATGGCTGTTAACACTCCCGTGCTGAGAAACACACATCATTTTCCTGATTCTCAAATTTCTATGTAAATTAAGCTAACGACTGAAAAAATCAGCCGGTATTTTATGTTCATGACCATTTTGATCATACTGTATGTTTTCGTGTTTAAAAATTATTAGTCAAGAAACTGTTCAGTATAACTGAACTAGCAGATGAAGTTGAAAATATTTAAGTTAAAGGACTAGTTCTCCCAAAGCGAACATTTACTGAAAAGTTACTCGCCCTCAGTCAATTCAAGATGTATACGAGTTTAGAGATGTAAATTTTGCATTTCATCACTTGCTCACCAATGGATCCTCTGGTGCCATCAGAACGAGAGTCCAAACAGCTGATAAAATCAACACAGTAATCCACATGACTCCAGTCCATCAATTAACATTGTGAGGTGAAAAGCTGTGCGTTTGTCAGAAAAAAATTCATAAATTAAGACATTTCAAATCATCACTTCTGGCAAAATACCAAATCATAACCACACTTCTTCCAGTAAACACTTGTTCCAGTAAAAAAAAAAAGTCTATCCCCGGTTGTCCTCTCACATCAAAATCCACTGTCAAAATTGTTTTGGACCGTTTCGCTTGTGAACAGTGCTTGACCTTTACATATTTCTCCACCGATTCAGAAGAGATGGCTTTTTCCCTGGAGAAACCAATATTATGATTACATGACTTGTATGTTAGCTTAAAGCAGTGGTTTGACGTTAAAAACATATTACGGACACGCAGCTTGTCGCTTCACAAGACGTTAACTGATAGACTGGAGTCATGTGGATTACTTGTGACATTTTTATCAGCTGTTTTGAATCTCATTCTGACGGCACCCGTTCACATTGGTGAGCATGTGATGTAATAATAAATGTAATACATTTCTCCAAATCTGTTCCGATGAAGACACAATCTCATCTACATCTTGCATAGCTGAGTACATTTTTAGCACATTTTTGGGTGAACTATTTAAAGGTGGGGTAAGTGATTTTTCAAAAATGCTTTAGAAAACTGATTCGGGCCGACTAGCAAAACAAACTTGTAGCCAATCAGCAGTAAGGTGCATGTCTACTCATGATGTGGAGGAGAGAGCGTTCAGTGCTCACATTAGCGAGCCGAGTGACAGAAAGATAGAGATGGTGGATAAAAAAACAAAAGAGGAAAACATCTGCGGAACTAAAGAAGGCTTAAGGCAAGTAGGAGGAGTAAATATCGGATCAGCTTTCCAGCACTGGAGAGAACTCAAGGAGCTGAAGGCCTGCGATCGGATGCCGAGGTTACTTTGTTTCTTCTCGATAGGTGTGTAACACCGTGTCTGCGCCGCAACAGCTAAAGTCTGTCTAGTACACTGGACGCGACAAAACGACCGTTGAAAATCATTTGAAATTTGTGTCAATACGTCATGAATGGAACGCAGCAGTAGTTTTCTGTCGGGGATTTGTCGTGTCGTGCCGCGCCGCATCCAGTGTAGACCATAGATATGTATATACAGTGGTGTGAAAAAGTGTTGGCCCCCTTCGTGGTTTTTAAATTTTTTTGCATATTTGTCACACTTAAAAGATTCAGATCATCAAACTAATAATTACTACTACCTGCCCTGGGCCGACACCAAGCCTGTGATTGCCATCACATCCTTTTGGGAGGATATCAGTCACCGGTTAGACTCACTGAACACCATTCTGTATATATCTAACCGTTTGGTAAGTGAATGTTTTAAAGTTTCTAGCAGTACACACTCTCTGTTTACATCACACACCAGTGGTTCTCAACTTGTGTGAATAAAATGTATTCTTTGTGCATCAAACCTGTTAATACGATTCGTCCTTTTGCAGCAAACCAACCTCAGTGCGTTAAAATCTGCAGTACAGTCCAAAGCTACAGATGCAAGGCTAGTAGAAATCTGGCTGAAGCTCATCAATCAGTTAATGGAAGACATCAGCAGGTAATATCCACTTTAGCTCAACATTCATCATGATTTTTGTCATGCATGTTTTAACTAATACAAACTCCTGTGTCTCAGTTTCAGAATTCCTGACATGGAGGGGAAGCCCAATCTCACAGCCCTGGACATCCAGCAAAAGATGTTACGGGACCGTGCTCTGGAGAACATCATGAAGGGAGCAAAACACTTGTTTGAGGAAGCCACAGATGTTAATAAGTGCTTGAGCATCATTGAAGGCTGGCTGGACAAACTCAAGCAACTCGCTGAGGAGGTATTTTTTTATCCTGTGTAGGATTGGAGCTACAATTAGGGAAACACAAAGGGTTTTTTTTTAGTAATCGTTACTAGTAAGGCGATTATAAATATACTGACTCTGGATATTTAGTTTTGTATGCTCATTTACCTTATGTTTTAATTCAAGTGTGCTGTCTAGTGCTCACTTAGCACAGTTAATCTTTAGAAACGAATAATTTAATAACAATATTAATTTTTCATACTGTACATTATGTTGTGACCTAATTTAAAATGGCTTTTATTTAATTTTTTGTATGCTATGTGTTTATTTGTTTAGACAAATTAGTGTATAATTTTACTAATCGGCTATTTATCAGTTAGCATCCATTAAAATAATTAGAAGTTAATCGGTATCAAACTGAATTGTAATATTGATGCATTCCCAAATATTACAAACTCAAATTCAGTTGTTTTGTTCAACCACTGCTGTCCCTTTTTCTTTCCTTAGGTTTCTGCCCATGTATATATATATATACTGTATATAAAAAAAAAAAGAAATCACCCCATAGCTCTTAATTATACTTTAAATTACCAGTACTTGGTTAGTCTCACATAGCCAGACTTTCACTATCAACAAAGTCAGGTCAACATTGCTACTTAGTCTAACCAAGAACTGCCCTCTTTGACATGTCTGTTTTTACATGTGGTTTAGGGTTGGTATTATTTTTTATGACTATAGCCCTATTGGTAACACTTTATTTCGATAGTCCACTTCAGACATTCTACTAACAGTAAGTAACTTTGCAACTACATGTCAACTAGCAGTCATTAGAGTATTAGTAGACTGTCTGCTTAATATCGTCTAACACTTTATTTTGATGGGTCCACAACATACAACATTCTGACTGTCAATTTATTCTAATAACCCTAAACCTAACCTAACCGTCTACTCTGAGAGTTAGTAGACATATAGTTGCAAATGAATGAGAATTAGTTGACATGTAGTTGCAAAGTTACTTATAGTTAGTAGAATGTCTAAAGTGGACTATCAAAATAAAGTGTAACCGAAATTAATTCAAAATTCAGTTGAAATCCTTTTTGACAACTGCCGAACATCATACGATAACTGTCGTGCTTTGCTGTGATTTGCATGCATATTTATTTCTGAAATGCTGGAAAGAATTTACAAGAACATTATTTTATAACTGCTCCACCATAGCGAGTGGGAGCAGAAAGAGAAGAAAAGCATGTAAACATTCGAATTGGGTCTTTATTATCGCAGCAGCAGGTATGCAAAACAGTTTTAAAATGTGTGTTATATACATAACTATATCGCGTATAATTATATACAGCTATAATGCATCTATTTTCCTATTTTTAAACAGGAGATTTAAATAAATCATAAATAGGATTATATATTATAAAATATGCTTGGAATAAGAATACATTTAACATTAAATCCTTCTTACTGATCTTCGGACACTGATCTTCTGCCATAAATTATTTTTTTTATACATTTTGCACAATAATAAGAAAAAAATTGGTAAATAAAATTTATTTTATTTACAGCAGACAATCTGGCCACGTGGGTAGCTCGTTCCCGGGTTCGTAGAATCACAGAACTAGCTTCTCCACTGTGAATAAATCTATGAATTTTATCACTGATGTGCCATGTAAATGTATTTTTACAGACATCCACATGAGAAACAATTACCATCTTGATCAGGGTTATGACGATATTAGACCAGCTAAAAGAAAATACTCCAATCATTGCATAGCACTATAAGGCTACAAGCAGAAGAAATTATTGGAAATCTGTGGAAATCATCTAAAAAGTAAAATGTACTGATTATTTCACAGATATCACTTTTTTTGAATATTTAGCTGCTACTATGAACCTCAAACAAAACTCTGAGTCTCTTTTATGATGCCACAAACATGAAAAACTGTGGCAATTCGGTTATTACTTCTTCCTGTAAAGCACACATTTTGTCCTTTATGGTGCCTAGTAAACAACTCCAGACAAACTGGCTTCTCAGGAAGAAAAGTGGAGCTGGTTTTCTACCAGTGCAACCAATGTTTTTTGTACAGTATACTTTTGATGGTCAGAGACTAGTGCTAGATCAGAACTTGAGCTAATTCTTGTTGGTCAGACTAATAGAATATGACTGTTAAACATCATCTGTATCAACATTAATCTCAGAGCATCTTTTTTCAAAGCCTCAGAACAGCATGCCTGATGTGATTATCTGGATGTTGAGAGGAGAGAAGAGGGTAGCATACACTCGCATCCCAGCCCATCAAGTGCTCTATTCATCCTACAGTGAGCAGGCATGTGGTCAATACTGCGGGAAGACCAAGACTATCTTTATGAAGGTATTTAAACATATGACATAAAACATGTTTAAACTTTGCTTCATGAAAAGTAACCCATGATTCCTGTTTTTCCAACAGTATCCCATGGACAACAAAAAAGGTTTGAAAATTCCCGTCCAGTTACGTGTGAACATGTGGCTTGGGCTGGCAACAGAAGAGAAGAAGTTCAATCATTATGCAGAGGGAATTTTCAATGTATTTGCAGAATTGGTAAATATTGTTTTTTTTAAATGCTTTTTAGGTCTGGAGAGAAGCAGTCTTGAGTTAGGAGCTCATTTTAAACCATTGTCTCTCACAGTATGAGAACCAGGCTCAGGTTCTAGGGAAATGGGGCACCACTGGTCTGCTGAGTCGTAGCAAGTTTTCTGATGTCACAAGCAAAGTGAAGCTGAAGCAGGAGTATTTTTTGCCCCCGGTTGGCTGGGAGTGGGAGGGTGACTGGCGGGTTGATCCAGAGAAAACGTGAGTTGTTCGCCACCCTCAACACAAACATTTGGAAATAGTTGGCACATTTCCAAGCATCATTATTGCCATTTATCATAATTAGGTGTAGACATTTAAACAAACTAGCAACACTAAATGTTATACTAAAGGCCAAGAATTCAGTGCAATAAATATTTTAACTCTCCTATCACATTAAAAAATGTTTATACATCTTTTACATTGCAGGGTCAGTTTTGACCTGGAAAAACATGAGCTAATAAAACCGTCATAATTTAATATTTTTTTTACTAAAACATATTGTATCTGTGAGTGATCGACAAAGTAGTCCGTGTGACATCAGTGGTTCAACTGTAAAGTTACGAAGCTACGAGAATACTTTTTTTTGCGCAAAGAGAACAAAAATAACAACTTTATTCCACATTTTCATTCTTTGTGCAAAAAAGTATTCTCATAGCTTTGTAACTTTACAGTTGAACCACTGATGTCCCACGGACTACTTTGTCGATCATCTTGGTACTTTTCTGGACCTTGAACGTGGTAGTTACCTTGCTGTCTATGGGAGGGTCAGAGAGCCCTCAGATTTAATCAAAAATATCTTAAATTGTGTTCCGAAGATGAACGGAGGTCTTACGGGTTTCGAACAACACGAGGGTGAGTAATTAATGACAGAATTTTAATTTTTGGGTGAACTACCCCTTTAAGCAAAAGTTCAAGGAACAAATAGTCTAATTTTGAATAGGAAAAGAGTTTGAAAGGGCTGAAGTCCACATTTCACTCTGCTGCCACCTATTGATAAAGCATTGCACGTTCAGGCTGTAGATCACCTTTTCTATACAAAAAGTGAAGTTTATTTATAAAATAAATATATTTTGTTTTAAGCATTACAGGAGTAATACTTACAGTATCTCACAGAAGTGAGTACATCCCTCACATTTTTGTAAATATTTTATTATATCTTTTCGTTCATCCGAAGATGAACGAAGGTCTTACGGGTTTCGAACAACACGAGGGTGAGTAATTAATGACAGAATTTTCATTTTTGGGTGAACTAACCCTTTAACACCCCTTTGGGTTGTAGTTCACTAGAAATAGTTTATTTGTTATGTCACCGTCTGTTTGTATTATCTTTGTGTGTGCATATTCAAGTTTACCAACAAAATTCAGGCTTGGAGTTGTCAGATACTGGAAGTTTGAAAAAAAGTAATTTGATACAAATCTAGCTAATTAAAAAAAAAATATTATAAAAATTATAATAATATTTTCAAGTGTAAACCCAGTCCATTTCTGGGTCAAAACTGGCCTGAATTGAAAGGTGTAACAATTTAGCTTAAATGGTTATATCTCTTAAATTATTTTTAAAAAGCTGAAAAAAGTAAATGATGTGTATTCTGATAGTCTTAATCCATGTTTTTTTTTTTAATGTACTAAAATGAATGTTTTTACAATTTTTAAATGCCGCTTCCAGGTCAAAACTGACCCAAATGTGATAGGAGGGTTAATTTAATTGAACAGCTGTTCATGTGTCTGTTCAGCCCGACAAAAACATGAGCATTTTTTGGAGAGGTGTTCTAATTTCTTTAAAACTGCTCAACCAAGAAGATTTGCAGTTTTGGTCATGCTCAATAATGGTGGCATCCATGGCAAGTTTTGCGTTGACGACCACCACTCATATTTTCCTCAGAAACAGTTACAGTCTAGTCAATAAATTATGTTTTTATTGGGTGGATGGGTAGTCTGCTGACTGAGGCTGATGCAGGACACACTGAGTTCGTGGATGAGGTCTATGAGAACGAGACTCGATTACCAGGAGGAGAATGGAAGCTTGCGGCAGAGCCTTACACTGACGTGGTAAAAGCACCTGCCGGCCTTTGCTTCATATCAGATGTCTAATCAAGCCATTTGCTCATTTATTTGTGATTTCTATTTAAACCGCCTCTGCGGCAGTAGTACATCTAGATCTTAGTGAAACCAAGAAAGAATGGTTTATAATAGTAGTAATTATAAATAATAATATATAATGTATATAATAATCTCTCAAAAATCCTGTTATTCTCCATTATTATCCTTTATTTACAGAATGGAGAAAAGGTTCAGGGACCTACAGAGATTGAATGCCCACCTGGCTGGAAGTGGGAGGATATCTGGACTTTTGATGACAACCGAGCTGTCGATGAAAAGGGTGAGCCTGCCATTGTTTTTTTTTTGTTGTTGTTAGAAGTGTTGCCATGTGTTCTTAACAATTGAGCTGCTTTTAAAAGAATTTTCAAAAAATACTTAATTTAAAAAAATTTGACAATTTACTCATCTGCCTGTTATTCCAAACCTGTATGATTAAATTTCTTCTGTGGAGCAGAAAAGATCAAGTTTAGTTGAATGTTCACTGTTCTTTTTGATGAAAGGAAAATATACAGTGACCAGAGGCGACCTCTAAAATGGAGGAAAAAACACTATAAAGGCACCAAGTAGACCATATGACGTGTGCAATATTTCAAGTCTTCTGAAGTCATGCCTTAGCTTCATTTAAGAAACCGACTGGCACTTAATTTTCTAGAATTTATTTACAATAAATTTTACATATTCACACTAGAGCACATTACACATTAAACACATGTCATGAAAGATGTATGAAACTTTAGATGACAGGCTGTTAGGTCCTATACATGCAATCACAAGATGGCACAAATTGATTGGCCTCTGCTGATTCTACAACGAATAAGCTTGCATGCTCAACATTTAAATAGTCTGGTTCAAGTGTTAACTGTAAGCTGATCCTGCAGTGCGCTATCAGAGTTCCTCTGAAACCCTCCACCTCCTCCAGCTCCACCGGTCTAGATTTGCTCTTGGATTTATGTATGCCCATTCATGCAGCATCAGCATATCTTACATGTTCACACCAGCGTGGCTGTATATCTAATGGCTGTAGCAAGTCCATGCTGTAATGATTTAAACTTATTTAGTTGATCCAATTTTAATATTTGGGCTGTGCAATTAAAGCTGCAGTCCGTAACTTTTTTTTTTGAGTTCAAAATTTACAAAATTTATATAATCAGCGAGTACACCATGAATCCATTTTCCAAACCGTGTTTTCGGCTTGTCCTTAATCACTACAGAACACCTATAAGAAGTGTTTATACCCAGACTATTTTAGACTGGTTTGGGTAGGTACCGCTGCGGAGTACCCCAGTACCTGCGTGATTCATCATAGACATAAACAGAGAGAAGTAGCTTCGGCTACAATGTTCTTCCGCAAGATGCATGCAGTTCTGTTTATTAACCGCTAGAGTGCCAAAAGTTATGGACTGCAGCTTTAAATGATGTGTATTTGTGAGTTTAGGTTGGGAATATGGTGTCACTATTCCACCTGATGATAAGCCCAAATCCTGGGTGGCAGCGGAGAAGATGTACCATGTTCATCGTCGCAAAAGAATGATCCGACCTCGCAAAAGGATTCCTGGTGCCAAAACTGCTGAAGCAAGTGTATATTCTGCATTTTAAAAGATTTTTCAAAGTTAATTAGGAATGTATGTTAGATTGTGCTTTTATAATGTGTATTTCCTAACTGTTTGACATGCAGAGGAAGGATACAGGAGATGCAGAGGGATGGGAATACTCCTCACTCATTGGCTTGAAGTTCCACAGGAAGCAGCGATCATCTGACACGTTCCGGCGGCGGCGCTGGAGGAGGAAGATGACACCTGCTGATCGGGTTGGAGCCTCAGCTATTTTCAAACTGGAAGGAGCTCTGGTTAGCATGCTGAATTTTTATTTTAAAGGGGTCATATGATGTTGCTAAAAAGAACATTATTTTGTGTATTTGGTGTAATGAAATGTGTTTATGCGGTTTAAGGTTAAAAAAACACATTATTTTCCACATACTGTACATTATTGTTTCTCCTCTATGCCCCGCCTTTCTGAAACACGTTGATTTTTACAAAGCTCATCGGTCTGAAAAGCGAGGTGTACTCTGATTGGCCAGCTATCTAGTGCGTTGTGATTGGCCGAATACCTCAAGCGTGTGACGGAAATGTTACGCCCCTTACCATACTGTGATGCCGTGTCCTGGCCGAAGTGACGACTCAAAAACATTAAAACCCATTATAAACGAGGCATTTGTTGCATCCAGTGGGGACATAATTATGGATTATAATGACTTCTACTGTCTTTTTATGCGTTGCGTTGCATTGCGCCGCGTAAACATAAAACCATGTCTGCATTTGTGATCGGAGAAATGACAAACAACAAGCGCTACTCTACACTGCTCAAAACTCACGTTTGAATCGTTCAACTTAACCACTGATTTCTAGTTGTGTCCTCTTTTGGAAGGCCAAACAAAGTAGTTTTGCTTTCACAACGAAAAACACAGTGTCACACATTGCGGGCTTGAGTGAGCGGCGGCTGGCGGGCTTGAGTGAGCGACGGCTGGCGGGCTTGAGTGAGCGGCAGCGTACGGGCTTGAGAACGGCGTGGCGGGCGGGCTTGCAGCAACCACATGTGACGACCCCGGGCTGGACTCCGCTTCATCCACGGTGAAAGCCGATCCGG